TATTTACAAGTGGGTCTTAATAGGGTGGGGTACAAAGATGAGCCTTTTATTCTAGCCTCTCAAGCTAAACAAGTGTTCTACATCACTTATCCGACAAGTTCCAAATGGTCTATAGTGCTTTTACCTAACAAAGTGATTGATGATAACAATGTAAATCAAAGTAATGTTGATGTTGAGAATAAGTCATATGTTAGAGGCAATGAGTCATATATACGAAATGATCAAGATGAGAATATTATAGCGCATGAATCATATATTAGAAATGATCATAATGAGGGAATTTGGATCAATCCATCCGTCAGAGTTGTTAATAACCAAGTAATTCATATTCCAACCAAGAAACGAAAGAGATGTTAGTGGAAAAGGTACTAGTGAAATATTATATGTTCTGTCATTCAATAAAATTATGTTTTTATTTTTATATTGTGTTTATGGTTTTACATTGTGTTTATCTTTTTATTTTTTGGCTATTCATTCAATGCTACTTGAATTTTATATGGTGTTTATGTTTTTCTTTAATATTACAAGTGAAATGGCTTCTAATGAGGAAAAAGATCATCCCGCTTCTAATATTGATGGAAATGAATCAGCTCGTGATATGGAGAGTGAGATTAGACGAGGAATAACAATTATGAAGTCAATAATTCGTGCAAGAGATAAACGTATCAAATTTGACGCACATTGGAATAAAGACAAACAACTAATTGAGCCTAACGGTTCAATGCTGACAAGTTACATTGGTTCCTTTGTGAGGAGAGAAGTTCCAATCACTTGTGATGATTGGAGAAGGCGTGAGCTGAAACCCGTTAAAGAAAAAATATGGACTGAAATACAGGTGCGATATGTGATGTCTTTCGTTTTTGTTGATGCTTATGTATATAAATTACTAACGCACTCTATGTATGTTTTTTTGTAGAGGTATTTTAACATTGATGATGATCGAAAATCATATTGTCTTCAATTGGCCAAAAAAAGACTAAGAGGGTTTCGATCTTTTTTGAAAAACAAGTTTCTTAGGGATGTCGATAACAATTATATCGATGCAGAACTTCCAAAGGCGTATGCAGGCTTTATTTCTCGTGAAGAATGGGAAACCTTCAAAGAAAAATAAGAACCTCATATTTTCAGGATGTGAGTGGCGTGAATCGCCAACGAGCATCAAGTCCCCCGTATCTATAAAAAAAGGGCGTATGGGATATGCACGCTTGCAACAAAGGTTGGTAAGTATATATAAATGATATGATATACTTGTTCATCAAGTGCTATTATTGATTTATTATTTCTGTTAATGTGTAGTTAGAAGAGGAGAAAAGTCAAGAAACATCTCTTCCGGAACATGTTCTGTGGAAGGCTGCCCGGGTGGTAAGGATGGAGTTATTACGGAAGATGTGCTTCAAATTTATGAAAAATGTATAAGTATATCAATATTTTTATAATTAAATCAAAATTTTATTAAAATACGAAATTTATGATTTTAATCACCACTAATTTATTTCGCTATGCATATGAATTTCAGGAGAGTCTATCTCAAACTCAAGCTGAAGACCAGGATTGCAGGAGCATACCTAGTCGAGCATTAAATGTTCCTGAGTATACCGGTTGTGTGAGGGGTAAGGGATTTGGGGTGACTCCAATATCTTTGGGTATTCATCAAAAGAAGAAAGGTCATAGCAATAAAAAGTGATGGAAGAGTTAGAAAAATTAAAAGCTAAAGTTTATGAGTTGGAAAAGGACAAAGAAAAATACTTGTCAGAGAGGCAAGGGTTAGGGTTCAAGGATACTAGTGACAAAGATAGTATCAATTGTGATTTGAAACAGAAAATTCCCGAGGTAACATATATTATTATGAATTAGCACAATTTTTTTAATTAACATATATAAACATTAACAATTTCATATTTATTATTGGTTTAGGGAATTTCACCTTGTCAGCTATATTTATCGTCACCGACTTATCGCATGGTTGGAAAGGGAAAAGTGAATAACACCTTAGGAGAAGTACTTCACCATAAACCACTCCCTGCTGGATTTTTGAAAGTATTAATTGAAATTTCTATAGAGAGGGATGTGCAATTACCGTTGTCTGGCGATATTTCAGATGCAACATTGGTCGGAAAGGCAATAGGATCTTATGTTGCATGGCCGTCAAGCCTCATTTGCATAGATTATGAGGTATGTTAACATTTGCAGTGTTGAAAACTATTATGAAAACTATTACGACCATTTAACATACATTTTTTTCATGGTAATGTTAGACTCCCATGAAATCCAAATCAAAAGATAAGGGGATTAAGCCGCAGACTGAGTCAGTGGCATCCAAAAAGGAAATAAATTAATATATATTTTGCATAGAAAAGGTTAATTCACGATCTTATACTTCACCTAACTTATTATATGCATTTTATCTTTAGATTCATGTTAAATACATGCAACAAGTACCTATGAGTAACATGTCCGCACAAAAAAAAAGGATATGGCAAAGTCTGCGGCTAGAAAAAAGCCAACTTCTCGGTATAGGTCGTGCCTTCAGACATTAATGGGAATTTCAGATTTGGCTGACAGATGTGCTCGTAATATACCTATGGAGGAAGGTATTTTTGGTTTTTACTATTACGAAACAATAAGTTGAGAGGATTTGGATCAAATTCTTAAACATGAAGAATTAGACCTCGGTGTTATCAATACATACATCAGGTATTATCCGATTAACTTTATTTTGTTTTTATTGAACAATTTATCTACTAATTTCAATGAATGGTCTTAATGTTAATGATGTATTTATTTAAGTTTCATGCATGCCAACTTGATGTGCCCGCATCAATTAGACCAAAAATTCTCCTTCTTATCTCCAAGCAATATCAACGCACTATTAATCCAACAACGACCATAGGACGTAAAAGAGTATTTTGTCCATACATTTATGGCCAACAAAGATACGAAAAATTTGTTTTTTTTTCATTTAATACTGGCAATGGGTAATATTTTTATTCAAACTTAATATATTATAATTTTTCGTGTTTTGACGTTTTGTAGAAAGTTTCAATCTAAACTTTGTTAATCTTACAGTGGATACTAGTTGTTGGTTGTGATCAATCCAATAAGAGAAGTTGTATATTATTTGAATTCGTTAGAAGGCGATTGGACAAAATACCCATACATGAAGGAGATGGTTGATACGTAAGTTAGATTGTTCTAAAACTTCATTTGTATACTTATTTATTTTTTTATGTGAGATTATTCTAAATCTTCGTTTATATTTTGTTAGGGTTAAACAAATTTTTAGATTACAAATAAATATTCAAGTACCAAAGATTAAGGCAAACAACATTACATGGATTAGAGTGCAGATATATTTTCATAATTTTGATTATATTAGTGATGCTACATGATAAAACAAGTTAAATTATATGAGATGATATATATTTGTATATTTTTCCATGTGTAATATCCTCGTCAGTGCAATGGTATAGATTGCGGTTATTTCATATTGAGGTTTATGAAAGAAATTATTCTTTTAAATCAAATAGAGATTCCATCCATGGTATGAGTTTCTAACTTATGATTTATTCTAATATATTTAACACATTTCATCTAATTGATTCATTTTAACTAAATCATATTATGTTATATTATGTAGTACTTTGATGAATATAAGTGTTCTACTTATTCGAAAGATCATTTGGACGAAATTAAGGAGGATTGGTGTCGATTCATTATTGAGATGAGAATTTTATAAGGTATTGTGACACTTTTATTGATCATAATTTTGAGTATATATAAGTTTGAGTTAATGAGATACTATGTCATCATAGTGTAGTAAATTGTTGCAATGTTGTTGTTGTTATTGAGATGAAAATTTTGTTTGTATTTGAAAGTGTATCGGAGAATTTTTAATGGTGGGTTATAATGGAATCGGAGAATTTTGCTTGTATGTATGAATCGGGAAATTTTTAATGGTGGATTATAACGGAATTTTGTTTGCTTGTATGGACGAAATCGGAGAATTTTATTTGTATGCATGATATGAATCAAGGAATTTTGTTTGTATGAATTTTGATTTGTTTTTGTTACATTGATTTTTAAGTGTTATATATATAGCTTGATTCTGATATATATATATATATATATATATATATATATATATATATATATATATATATATATATATATATATATATATATATATATATATATATATATATATATATATATATATATTTGTTTGTTTTGTTTCAGGTAGGTGCATATGTGTAGAAGATATATAGATTCATTTAAGATTCTTCATTGTTGTTGTTTGTAGAGAAGATAGTAGAAAATATCAGCTCTAGAAGATAACAATATTGAACACATTAAGTTGTATTTATGTATATATAAATTGTTAGATTAAATTTGTTATATAAATATGTAAATTTGGTGCATATTTATTGGATTGAAGCTTCAAATTTATAAATTCTGGTACAAATTTGAAAGACATCGCTTAAATTTTAAGTGATTATGTGTACATGACGCTTAAAGTATAAGCTGAATATATTAAAAAATTCGTTAACATTAGACAACGCGTTAAACCAAAAAGTGTGGCCTATGCAATAACAAGCGCTGCCTAAAACGGGACTTTAGACAGCGCTTAACTAAAATATATATAAAAAATTAATACAATAGACAACACTTTTTCTATAGTGTGCCTATAACAACACTTTCACTTTAGACAGCGCTTGAGGAAACATTGTCTAAAGTGAAAGCGCTGCTATAGGCAAATAATAGAAAGCGCTTACATTGTTAAAAGTGCTTCCTATAGGGGCCTTTAGAAAGTACGTATTCAATAAAGCGCGGTCTAAAATCTACATTAAGCAGCGCTTTCACATAGATTAAAAGTGCTGCCTAAGGTTACAGCAGCGCATGAATAGACAGCGCTTTTAAACGCTGTCTACGTGCTTGTTTGGCATAGTACTTACACCCCTCAAAATTGAAAGTGTTGCCTTTAAACATAATGACATTGTGCATCAACCAAATATTCCAAGAGAAAGCCAACCAAACCACCCCAATAATGTTCTTATCTTCTTTTTTTTCACCTTATGACAGTTAAGAATAAAGGAAGCCAATTCTTCATTCGATAACTCCAAATTTCTTCCTAACCAAATGCCCCCATTTGACCAAATTCTTCTAGTAACGACACATAAGCCAAACAAATGCGCCTTTGATTGCTCTTCCCTAAAACAAAAAACACAACTCTTTTCTCTATCATCTATAACAATACCTCTTCTCACTAATTGATCTCTTGTTGGAAGCCTATTGAAAGTCAATCTACATCCGAACTCAGAATGTTAGACGAAACATGCATCTTCCAAAGAAACGATAAAGCAGTTCACACTTCTTCTGGCACCAAACTATCAATTGACCTTGAATTTAAAGCTACAAAACACGATTTAACTGAGAAATCCTCGTTGGTTTCACGCATCCACGCAAACTCGTCCTTCATATCCTGCACTATATCAACATTTGATAATAGAGAATGAACTTCCTCCAATTGAAAATTGTCAACCACAGTCTGACTTACCACAAAATCCCGAAAGTTGCAGCACCACAACCCACCATCCCACCCTTCCGCGTTAATCATTGTTCTTGATCAAGATTCTTCTTCCAAAGTCTATCTTCGATTTATTGTGTAGCTTCTAACTAATTTCATTCAAGACAAAATCTAACCACTATATGTAATCTTTAGTTTTAAAGTTTGACGGCTTCTATGATTGATGAGGGCCAATCACACTATAGCGTCACAATCTAAACTTTATGTCTAAATTACAAAAAATAAGGGAATCGTCTAATAGCAGAGCATCTTAAAGACAACATGGCACTATAAATTCTCAGAAGCCAGAAGTGGCGCTTTCTACTGCCAAATCCTAAACCAAGTTAATGAATTAATCGTGGCGTACTTAAGTACAATTGCGGCACGATCATGCATTTTCAGAATTTTTCCTACAAACAGAAAAATGTGTTTAGTCACACGTAGGGATAGATGATTTGAAAGTGAAACTTAATTATTTTTATAATAATATTTGTCTACCTTTAGTTAGTAATTTCAATTACGTACACAAATCAATTAATCATGCTTTGTGCACCTCTTGTTCCTGTTACTCACACATTGCGCTGAATTTTCAGATGCAATCACCTTGTTCTTGTTAAAGTTAATACAACCCTTGTGATATTATTTTTAAGTCACATTGTGGTTTTTTTGGCACAATTACTACGAAAAATATTTTTACTCCAACAATGATCACTAAACAATGTAAATGAAAAATTACTTTGTTCCAAAGAATATTATAGCAATGTTGAGAATAGTATGCTTTTTATGGCAGAGGATGAGACTCCCAAACAACAAAAAACTTGCCAATGAGAGGGAATTCAAGGATTTCAAGGAAAAAAATTACTTGTTTTAAGCGATTGATTGATTAATTTTTGAGATAATTCTTGTCAACAACAAAACCAAATATATTTGGGATTCAATGTATATGTGTGCACGAAAGTTTCTCGGGAAGAGTCTCTAACCTCTTATATAAAGGTTACTTATAGGACCAGTTACAAGAGTCTAAACTTAGTTTTAAATTTGAGAGTGTTTTGGTGTTTGAAATGATTAAAGTACAAAAAACATAATAAGAAAAGGTAAAAAAAGACAGATAAATGATAGATAAATTGTAAGGCTGAAATGATAAACAAGACTTAAAATAAACTGCTTTGAATTTAAAGGTCGACACAGTCGTATATTTTTCATAACTGACTCGTTTCTATAGACGTTGGTACTTTGAGTGCTATCTTACAATGTTACAAAATGCGAACACGAAAATGAATACAACAACTTGCATAAAACGATGCTAAAATGTAACCGTCGACGGTTGCTTGAACAACCCACGTTGAGAGTTCGTGTGGAACTGCTTTCAAACCTCCCACGTTTTGTTAACACTAGTAGTTGACAACTGCTTTTTCCGTCACTTGCTCTTATTTTCGGCTGGCCCAGGCTTCTTCGACTTAGCCCCTGCTTTCAATACTATTTTGACCCAATTTTTGGGAATCACCCCTTAAACCTTGTCGATGGCCCCTGTTTATTCATATGAAGAATACTTGACACTCCTTTTGACACCATCCAGCTTATGACCTAATCGTCTAAGTCAAAAATTACCCTAAAAAATGCCAATTTCGATGAAGCTTCTGTCGACTGAGAACTTTGGTATTTTAACTTTTTGAATTTTTGACTACACGTCTTTTCAAATGACGTCATGCTTCATGATTGCCACTTTCTACGTCACTATTCCCAATGTCCTTCCATCATTTCTCATGATAACTCCTAGTTTCTAGGGCGTGGGATTTCAACATAACCTACCAACTTTTCCACTTCTAATATTTCATGACACTCATCACTTGAGTTCCATTTATTCCTCATCGACAACTTTAATCTATCTATAAATAAATCTTCAGCTTCTTATTTTAGCTTCTTCCTCTTTCTCGTGCCTATTCTCATGCAAGTTCTAGTGTACACAAAACCACTTGTTTTCTCTTTTTCTTCCTCTTTACTATAATGGCGTCTTCCTCACGCGCTCCTTTCAACACAGACAACAACCATATAGCTTTCAATCACCCAGAAGAAAAGGGTTTATAAGACCTTCCTCAGCCACCTTCTACTGATGCACTCAAAGTATCAAAATGGCAGAACTAAATGTGTATACCTTTTGTAGTAGCTGAAAAAGTGTCCGCCTTCCATGGACCGTATCCAGATGCAAGGTCTTATCTACACAAGGTACAACAATACTTTCCTTGTTTTTCTCCTGGTTCCGCGTCTGCGTATGTGAAGCATTATCTCGATAAGAAATTTATGAAAAACACTAGCAGTTTTTTATCCATGCCCACTCCTGGTAACAAGGCTTGGGTCATGTGGCTCGACAAGGTGCAAGTGAACAAATAAAGCCATTGGAAGGAGAATGAAATCTTCGACGCCATCTAACTTTCTAGAACTGCTCACAGGATAAATATCAATATGTTTCTTACTTCGATTTACTTATGGGAAAGTTTGACCAATACCTTCCAATTTCCTTGTTGAATGATGACTCCTGCCCAGTTTGACGTTGCTGCTATCATGGGACTCACAACTTTAGGTGAAACTTTCGACCCTACACTGTCAACCAATTTCGAGTTTAACTTCAGTCAACCCCGTCTCACTCAGTACATTGAAGACCATTATGTTAAGGATAATGCAAACGTCGATGATATAGAGCATATTGCATTTATAACTTGTTGGATTTCACATTACTTATTTGGCCCGGGCTCTCTTCAAGTGGCTAAGGGTTACATCAACTTAGCCATCCAAATTCACGAAGGTCGAAAGATATCTCTGGGTAAGCTATTATTGGCTTCTTTATACCAATCTCAGGGTCATGCCTCTATTAGAACCATGATTCTTCCTAAAATGGACAAGGCCCTCTTTCTCTCTGGTCCCTTATGGCTATTGCAACACTGACTGAATGCCACTTTCAAATATCTCGTAGGCTACCCTGTTTTTGAAGCCCTCATGCACTTGCCTAATGATCGATCCATTGAAGGTACTCAGCTTGCTTTGACTACCCCCCAAGAAAACTTGAACAAAGTTAACTTTTTTAGATATATCAACCTAATCCTTGAGGCCAACTTTGTTTTCTACATGGCCCCTTTTGCGGGTCGACACATTGGTCGCATCTGGTTTAGAAACCCTTTCTCTGGTGTCTCTCCTCCTGCTACTGCTCAATCGAATGTTGTATGGAGATCATTTTTAACTCCAACTCTAATTTCTTTCCGTATTGACACTGGGTTAAATAGTTATGGCTTCACCAGCTATCAGCCAAATCTAGTAGCACGCTAGTTTGGCCTTAGTCAAATGTTTGAAGCGTGGTGGTCCAAATATCAAGAACAACATTTTTCTGCAGCCTCATTCTTGCAGAGACTCCCAGAAGCTTTTGACCGATTGAAAATGCAGCCAAATACTTCGCCAGGTATATTTTCAACACTTTCGATTAATTTATTATTTTATCCATGTAGTAGTGTTGTTTATTTTTACGATTCATTGGGTCCTATAGTGGATCCTACATAATCTATAAGGAAAACTCCTAGCAACACTCCAGAGACCTCAGTTATTGTTATCAAAGAAAGCCCAAATAAACAGGTACCTTATATTTCCTCATGATTCGTTTACCGAAGGCTCATCTAACACTTTTTATTTTCCATATCCATAAGAGATCATCGACTGTGGCTCCTGACTCCTTCCAACCTCAAAAGAAAAATAAAAACAACAGACCTTTAACTCAAGTCTAAAGACTCTTTAATTTTCCTATTCCTTCGTGTCGGGGTTCATCTGACTCGTCTCATTTTAGGTTCTTGAAACACCACCTTCTTCCATTAAAGGAGAAAGAAATCCCGATGGTAAACTCACTCATATTTTTCCTTATTTAAGAATTCCGACTCTGACAAAATCGAAAAAAACTTCCAAGAAAAGAATTGTATTGTGCAATGCTGCTCCAAAAGATACCCTTCTAATTCCTATTGTATTTGAAGAACAAAAATATCCTCCTCTCTTTCCACCTAAAGAAGCAGCTTCTCTTGTATTTCCCTCACAACAACACCCTAACATCCCCGAGGTATTAATCTTTCTTATTCGGAATCACAGACTTTCAGTTTTCGATTTTTTGTGAACTTTTACTTCTACAATAGGGTGAAACACTAACAAAAATCCTGAATAAAGCTCCTTCTTTGAACTCCGTTCATGTTGAGGAAAACATTACTTTAAGTCCCCAAACACAAGATTATTTTGTTGACACGGTTGTTCCTATGGAGCATAGCCCTCAGCCGCCTCCTGAAAACACTATCGAAGAACCTCGACCTATTCTAGCTGCATAAGCTAGCGTCGAAGAGCCTAATTTTCAACCCTCTGTTGCCGAAAGTGACCCATCTCACAAAATCCCAGATGTTGACTCAAATAGTTTCCTTAGTCAAGAGGACATACTGACCATGAAGACTCAAAATCCAGCCGAAGCCGTGAGACATATCCAAAAACTTCGACATGTATCATTGGACTCCAACACTCCCAATTCAATCGCCATTGCTGAGACTTACGCCATTGTTAAACTCAAACTGCAACAACTTAATATTTATCTCCTGAAGGGTGATTTTCTCATTGTGTTTGAAGAAGAAGCTGACCTAGAGAGAGGTGTTCTCAAACTGATTGATGAACTTAATAATTATGATATGCCTGAGTCTATTGCTCGATATTTGTTTGAGTTTGAGGCTTTCTTCAGCCAACTTAATCTAGATTTTGTTATTAGGAAGAATGTTGATCTCCAGATCAAGAAGAAAATCAATGAAATGGATCAGGAATGGGATTTCAATGAAGCTTGCAAGAAAAAATTGACTGAATTCGAGGCCCTAAAGCAACAACGTTCCAATAAACACTAAGAAATAAACACCGAAATTTCCTGCTATCAGGCCCAAATTGATGAACTTACTAAGAAAATTGAAGAGGTCAATCAAAGGAAGGCTTCCATTGATGCTAGTGAAAATTCTCCCACCTAAGAAAAAATCAACAATGAGGCTTTGAAAGGC